ACCTCAAATAAGACTCCCTACTGTCAACACCACAAATAGGGAACTGGTCGTATGGAGGTTAGAGCGCATACACACATGAAGACCCTTAAGATAAAACCATGAAGGCGGTCTCCTTCAGCTTCGCTTCCGCAACGATGCGCCGAACAGCCTGGGGCATTTCCTGCATGGCCCACCGCTTCCATTGTGTTCACTAGTGGGATGAGCACATTCAGAGGATTGAGGAGGTTCTGCTGTTGAGCGGCGCAGCTTGGCGTCTACGACTTCAAACGCAACAGACTGAAAACTGAACCGCATGTGCTGGAAAAATACAAGTTCCCAGAACTTGGCACTAACAAACACTTGTGAGCAAACAACTGACATGAACGCAAGAAGCATAAACAAGCATGAGCCACTTCAATGGACATAGTTGTACAAGTTGTACCAGTACCATGAAAAGAAAGAAGAAAGCCTCCAATTCCAACAGAACTGCGACAGTAGCTCCTGATAGGCATGGACCAACGATGTTCGGAGGTCTGCCTCTTTGATCGGATCCTCAGAGTTCTTTTCCTTCCAAAAAGAATCTGAAGAGCCGGTATGGTCAGCGATTCGTGCTCAACAGGTCAGGTGGAGGGCCTGAGAGGCCCTACCGCATGGGGTTAGGGCAGCAAGCTTCTTCAGGCCTGGCACCTACTAGCTACATCTCCAGCATGTGCTGAAGCATTTTTCTTTGGGGGTTCTGCATATGGCCCCCAAGAAGCCCCAAGCTTCAGACCAAGCTGCCAGTTCCAGCACCGTGCCATCGCTGCGTGCCTCGCGCCAGCGCCGGCGCCGAGACTCCTCAAAGGGACAGCGGACTTCAGCACTTTTAAGTTTCAGCGTTTGCTGTTTTTTTTCGGGCCTCAGTCCGGTCACTTCATCAAAGCCCCCAAGAATCGCCTCCAGTGCCTGGGTCAGGGATTGCCATGGACAGCCCACCTCGGCAGAGAGATAGTTGCAGCATAAAGGTTCTCAAGCTTAAAACTGGCTCAGACTTGGTCTTGGGGGTTACAAGGTGGTGGGGGTGACCCACAACCCCAACAGGGCTTGACATCTGTGACAAGCTTTAGCACACCACGCACCTACACAAAAATGCAAAGCCTGGAAGCCCTAACCAGAGCCTGCACACCGAGCCGCCGGTGCTGTGTCACGCGCCTCCCGCAGGAAGACATTGGAGATCCAGCGCTTGAGGAGGTCGAAGGCCACCTTCACACTTCACGTGCTCGCATTTGGGCTTCGGGGTTCAAGTCACTCTCGGCCGCCGTCTTTGTTGTCTTTGCCCTGCGAAGGCTTGTTGTGATGAACCTTTTAACAAATAGATTCAGCAACAAAGTGGGTCCTGGGCATAGCAGGTTTGGTAGAAGATGCCGGTCAAACTCCGCCACGACAACAGATGCGGAGTTAGGAAGATGTCTTTAATCAGCAGTCCGAGGCACACGATCTCTCGCAGAGAAGTGCGAGCGCAGAAATGCCAGATCCATCTTCCCAGCCTCTTGATGCGTGTCTAACGGTCAAAGGTCTGGAGGCGTAGCACATACAACAGACTCGTCAGCCAGTCCATACAAGGATTCGGTTTTGCAAAATGGCCCCCTTGTCATGGAACGGTCGTTTTCTAGCAAATGCCGCAAGTAAAACAGCAATCGCTAATCTCAATCTCAGTCTCCATGTTTACACTGCCAAAAGTCAAGCGGCTCTGCACAGGCGTCTCCCTCAACACGCAGCTGTCATAGGCTGTCGCGCAAAGTCCATGGCTGCGTCTTCGGCTCTATCTCGGGGAATGTCACAAGCTTCGGAAAGCCACTTTGGAAGGTCACCAAGGGTATGGCTCAAAAGCAGCTGCAGTTTGGGGGGGGTTGGAGGTGCCATGAGGTGCCTGGGCAGCACAGCACCCCCTTAGCAAGGAGCTCGATATCCGGAAGGGGTTCGCATGAGGCTGTCGGTCTGATGTGGGAAAATGTGGGAAAGCTATGGAGCGCTGGTCTGCTGCATGGACCAATGGAGCCGGGGGCCAGAGGCCTTCCTGCACCAAACAAAACAGGCGTTGAGCATGGTATGGAGCCACGGCTGCCAAAAAAGGAGAGCACTGCCCCCGGGGGCTCCACCAGTAGGTGTGGTCTGAACTGCTGCATCGCCTTGGTGAAGTCAAGGTACACAGCAGAAATCTCGCGCGATAGAGCCTGGGGTTGTGGAACATCACAGCTACAAGGGACAGTGCCTCACTCAAATTCGGATCAGGACTGAGTCGGACTGAGCCCTGGCAATCTGAGATATTTTCCAAAGGCTTTTCCTGAATGCAGCTCATGTGCTCATGAAAACCCTGCTGACGTTAGTCTCTACGACCCAGGCAGCTCTTCGGGCGTCAAACGCTGCGATGCCAAAATCAAAAAGCAGCGAAGGTGCTTCGAGCACCATAGAGTTCTTCTTGGCCACCCGGTGTTCGTAGCCTCACGAAGCTTGGGACGTGCAGTTTAGAGCCCCGGAGGGATCTTTTGGCAGGCCACCTACCTGCAAGGCCAGCACTCTCAAGTCACCCCTGCGGTTACTGCTCCGATCATGCGCTTTCCTTGGTCAACTTGCAAGCCATTTCGGCTTCCCCACCGATTTCGCTGACCCATCTCCATGTTCCTATGTTGCCAGCGGTGCCCTCATTGTAGGACTGCTGCAATGCAAGTGCATTTTGGGAACTTCTATTTGAGACTATGACCACGCAATGATCGACATGCAGTGGAACGCTGGCTATGGCTGGGGTACTCGTCTCAAGTTGATAATAACCTTGGCCTGAAGCAGGCAAAACGAAAGGATGAAAATCTGAAAAGCACGTTGTGTATGATTCCGCTTACCCTATCCCCTTGCAAAGGAGGCCTACAACAAACCCTAAACCCTAAACCCTAAACCCTAAACCCTAAACCCTAAACCTTAAACCCTAAACCCTAAACCCTAAACCCAGGAAATCCGTGTGTCGCCTAGGGAAGCGCAGATGGCAGCGACATCCGCACTGCAGGGAACAGTCGGCTGGTCGTCGGGCGTCAGCACCAAGACCTGTGCGTGAGCCCCAAATTCCAGGAACGAACCGTTTAGTGTTCAGGGATTAGGCTTCAGGGATTAGGGTTTAGGGCTTAGGGTTCAGGGATTAGGGTTTAGGGTTTACGGATTAGGGTTCAGGGATTAGGGTTTAGGGTCCGCCGGTTTTGGGCTGATTCTTGTGAGCCCGAGCCTCGATGGGTCGCATCCTTCGCGCCTGCACGGGCAACTGAGCAGCACACGTCATGCACAGCTTGCATGCAATGGACGTTCTCAGTGCTCATTTAGCATTGAGCGTAGACTCCAAAAGAAGAACCAGCTTCAAGCGCTGCAATAAACCGACGTCAAGCAGCCCAGTGTGACAATCACCCTGCCCTCCACTTGAGTGAACTGCAAGGTGGGCATTCATCACTCATGCTGGTCCTGAACCTGAAGAAGAGGGTTGTTGCCTGGACGAGCCGATACAGCGCAAAATTGAGCGCATCCTTCTGGCCCAGCAGCGCCTTCGGGTTCGTGGCCATACAGGGCACAAAACTGCTTTGCAGACTTCTTGCGATCTGGGAGTTCAGGCAAACGAGCGTGGCCGCATTGAGGTGCAGTGAGATTTTGCGTCTTGGGGATGTTGCATACAGATCCATCGCGGGCGCGGGCTCAAACAAACAAGCACCCCTTACGTGTCGAGGCCTTGACATCGGCGGCCGGAAGAGTAACAAACTTCAAAAACCCTTCTGTATCTCCAAGCAAAGAAGACAAAGTTGCTCTCAAGCCCCTGTCCGCCGAGCAACGATTCGCGGCGTCTCCTGGTCAAAAGGCTCTGCAGCCATGGCGGCGGTAATGTCACCACAGCAAGATGTATAATCTTCTCAAGAGTTTGCGAGGGGAATCCCAAACCGAACGTACTAATATGAAGTTGCCAGCGTTGATTCCGGTTCCAGTGTACAAAGGGGCCTGTAGAATCTTCAACGCGGGATATTGTAGGGACATACATAGTGTAGAGGTACAACCCCTATGCAACTGCACCTGGAGTGAACCTGGCTTAACGGATCACTTGCTTGTGCAGTACAGGTTGCATCACACGACGCTCCGTTTATAGCTCTATATGAGTGTATACACATACGTATGCATATTATATATATATATATATATTTCTATATTCATGGACAAATAAATATGTATATATATATATTTATATTTATTTATTTATATTTATATTTATATTTATATTTATATACCTGCACATGTATGTAGACCTACCAGTCTCTCAATCAATCTATATCTATATCTATATCTATATCTATATCTATATCTATATGTATCTATCTATCTTTCTAGAATCTATCTATCTATACCTATCTATCTATATCCATCCATCCATCCATCTATATCTATATATATTTATATCCATATCTGTATCTATCTATAAATCTATATATATATATATAGATATACATCTACCCATCTACCTTTCTATATGTATCTATATCGATCTATCTATCTTCCGCGGAGAACGTGCTTTCACTGAGCTTTCGCGGACCTTCCGCACACAGGGTTTCTAGTGCAATCCAAACTTTCGGCATGGAGCCATTTCCATACTTTCACAGTACCTCAACATGTGCCATGGACCATGCTACAAGGATGACCCTCTCCCCTCCTTGACATGGCTCTGCACAATGCCTTTTTGGCAGGGCCAGTCTGTGCCTGATGTGAAGTTTGCTATCGCAACTTCATCTGCGGCAGGAAGTGTCAGGTTTGGATCAAGAGGGTTTTTTGTCGGGAAACAAGAAAAAGATTATGGTTGATGATTAGGCTTATCATGCCCTACACCGTAAATGTCCTAAGCCCTAAGCATTGCAGTCTAATCATCCTTGATCCCTTTGGGCGCGCCAAGGATCCCTGAAAATTCGGTGCCTGTCAGGGCTGTCAGGATCACGTGGGCACCCTAAAGGAAGGAGAAGATTGGAAAGTCAAAACTCAACCATGACGAGGTCGTAATCTTGCTGGTCACAATGTGGAACTTCCTCCGGCGCACCCCCCGGCGCACCCCCCGGCGCACCAATCTGCTCAGACGTCGACCGAACAGTTTGATTGACCTCTTCTGCTGGCGACTCAATCGGGCTCTCATCCTCTTGACTCAAGCCTGACTTGGAGTCCAAGGACAGGTTGGAGCGGTTCCTCTGATCACCGTCTTCGCTCAGGCCTGAGCGGGAGCGGGCACTGCCCAAGCTCGCGTTGGAGCGAGCCCTTCGAATACGACTTGGACTCCTTGTCACCTTCTTGGTGAGTGTTTCGGCTCCGGGAATCACTTCGAGAACAACCATTGACATGCAAGCATGGAGCAGCTTGAGATCAAAGGGCGCCAAGGTGCCCAATTCTTCGGTCAGGCTGCCATGTTGCAAGTCCACAAGATGAGTGGCGCTCTCACGGATGAGGTCGGCCAGCTCGTCATAGTCTGGAAGCTTGGCCAAATCCAGCAATCTGAATCTGGTCGCATCAGAGGCTCGCAAATTGCGCACGCCAGTACATCCAACAGACAGCACTGAAACCAAGAGGACGACCAAGGCGACAAGAAGGGAGCCTACTGTCACGATGGCAGCAGACAAGAGCATCTCTGTATCCATCTTCGGCATGTGGAGGGCTCCTCCAAGAATCAACAGAATCAAGGCCCAGCCACAGGCGGTTTCCACGGCGTTCAAGAGCGGAACTTTGAATGGCCAGGCCAAGCTCAAAAACACCATGTAAATAATCAGAATAAAGGTCATCGAGATAACTTGGCTTGCCGGATTGTTGGTGAACAACATCAAGGGGAAGGATAAGAGAGCACCACGCAACAGGAGAGGAAGGCCAAACCACCAGGCATCAAGGCGGAACTTGTCGATGAGAAACTGGGATGCGGCGACATAGTCGTGGTACTTCTCGTTCATGCTGAACCGTGGCAGAGACCATAGAAGCCACACGCAAACACACCAAAAGGCGATAAGCAAAGCGCCCAGGCTGGAGCCCATCACCAGCATTACGGCATGATCGCTGGAGCCACAGATGATGCTAAGCATCTGTAGGTTGCTCTGCTGACCGTTCGGGTGCTGAAAGCACATGAAGGGCACCAGGGAGAGATTGCTCACTGCACTGAAGCAGGCCATCACAATCTGCCCCAAAGAGGACATCAGCTGCGTGGCCGTGCGGACACGGCCAACCAAGCGCAAAATGCGATTGCAGCAGACCAGCCAGAGAAGCGCACCAGGAAACAAGCTCACCTGGAAAGTGAACTGAGACAGCTGAGCCGAGCCGGCAATGCAGCTGATGCCGAGGTCAGTAGCTTCAAAAGCGAAAACCTCCATGACAGAGAAGATGTCGAGTAGTAGCTGGGGCCACTCCAGGGTCATTTGCCCAGCGATGGCCAGGGTCTGAAGGAAGTTGCCTGCAACCTCAAAAAGCATCAGAAAGGTGAAAATGAGCATGCCGTTCACCCCCATCTCATAGTCCAACTTGAAGCCATGGGCCAGGAGAATGGCCAAACACACGCACGCGAGCACCGCGAACCAAGCGACCCTGATAAATGGCTCGCAGGGCAAGCATTCGTCTCCGTTCCACCGCTGATCCTCCTCGCACTCGGAGCAGGCAACGCCGGTGCTGTTGCCCTTGCAGGTGCCTGGCTTGCCACCAGGACATGCTTCCGAGTTGACGCATTGGTAAACCTCCAGACCTGCTGCTGCAAGACTCATGTACCCTTCCTTGATCTTCGGGATGAACTCCTCTCCCAAGTCTGACTCTCCGCTGAAAAAGGACTGCACGGTGGACGATCGAGGGCAGTCCAAGCCAGCTGGGCACGCCTTGCACTGTGCTGGGCCGGCTGAGGCGATGTTGATAAAGTCCGCATTGCATCCACATTCCTCGGCTGACAGCGAGCCCAGGCCCACTGTCGTCGTATTGTTCCTGCAAGCCTTGCAAGCTGTGGCGCCCAGCTCATCTTGATAGCTCCCAACCCCACAGCGCTTGCAAGCCTTGCTTCCGGCCATGTCCTGGTATTCTCCTAAGCCACACCGTGTGCAAGAGGTCGCAGCCCCGGATGGTTGGCTCGTCCCTGGAGGGCACAATGTGCACACGTGAGTGTAGCCACGGTCGTCGAACTGCTGCACCGATGAATGGCCGGACTCGCATGCCTTGCACACCACTCCCTGCACGGATTCCCCACGCATCTGAATGTATTCCCCATTCACACTATCGTAAAGCCCAAAACCCGGAATGCATTGTGTCTCATCCGGAATCCACGACGTCCAGTGTCGGCGATTATTCAGAAGCCACTGGCATAGTGCCTCGTCTGAAACGCCTTCAATGTAAAGGCGATCGAACATAGCTTCGATCACTGAAGTTGACATTTCCAGGCGGGTGACAAAGTCCACAATGCTGGGTGCCAGAACTGCCAGGTCACGTGAGATCCACTTCGCACTGAGAAATCCACTGCTAAGTGTTCTGAAATCTCCACTGTCATAAGCTACGTTGTCATAGGCTGGGAACATAACCGGGACTGGCTGAGCGGCGCGCAGCTCTAGGTCCGGCCGGTTCAGCCAGAAGAGCACACGACGCTCGAGCACGATGGACCTGTCAAACTCCGGGCGCGCTCTGGCGATGGCGAGGGGCATGTCGAAAGCGGCGCTCTTCTGGAGAATTTGCTGCATGTCCCCGCCCGAGAAGGATTCGCGGGACATAGCAGGGACGCATTTCGATGGATTCGCCCTGCAGCTTGGTGATAGAAACCAGTGGCCATCTGGACATATTCCGGTGCCGTTTGGGTGAAGGCCACCCAGATCTCCGGTGATGTTCACATATTCAGCCATGAACGTAGGATCTCCAAGCCAGACCTCGTCGCATCGTAGGAGCCTGAATATTGAGATGTGATGCGGCGGGGCATAAGCTGTTATTTAAAGAGAGATACGAGAGCCCCTTGCCTGTCTACTCCACGTGTCGAGTGAAGTCCCTCGAGGAGCTAACGAACACAAGAGCAACGTGTAGAGCGAACGAGTGAGAGATAGTGAGAGCCCAGAGCGCTCTTAGACGCTCTGCCTCCTTCTTCCTCAATTTAAAGGAACACTTGAGCCATTCGACTCTGCCAGGAGTTCCATTGCCAAGGAGCTGCGATGTTGGAATGGATGTGAAGTTGTCAAAATACTTGGACAAGTCCCACCATGACGCGTTCCAGTTTGAGTAATACTGAAGCGAGAGGCCCTTCTCTTGCAGGGCATGCTGCGCCACCTCCTCAGTCATGTGCAAGGTGGCAATTGCCTCATACCCTATTCCGGTCCCAACTTTTTCTGGCTTCTTCGACTTGAAGACCGTCAACGTGTCCCAATGACGCTGGGAAATGGGTATCAGCGCGATGTGGTACTGGTTGGGACCGTCATTACAGCCCGTTCTGCTCTGTGGTTGATCACAGCCAGCAAGGTAATACAAAGCTCTTTCCCCGCCAGAGCGTGGGTTAATGTGCACATTATAACCCAACGCATCCTGAATCAGCATGCCAGCAATGCGAGTGACGATTTCCGAGATCTCATTGAAGCCGTGATTCATTCCCACGGGCAGCGATCTGCCTTGGGAATCTGTCAGGTTTCGCCTTTCTTCCACCGGCCGAGCTTCTGGCAAGCAAGTGCCCCGAACCCTGACGAAGAGTAGGAGCCACAGCCCCAGCCAGAGAGGCACAATGCGAGCATTGCAAAGGCTCACCATCGAAACCCTCAACCTTAAAACGAGAAACTCTTACTTGCTGACCTCCGTTGGAAATGACGCTGAACCCATTCGGCAATTTGGGCTCACTGCCCACATGTACTTGGAACCTAGCGGAGCTCTTCCAAAGTGCACGTTCCAACCGAAACACTGATCACCTTCGAATCATCGTTCATGGTTGGCATCCAGGGTTGGGCTATCGCTGTGACATGCTCTGACCCGAGAAGCACGACTTTCAATGATTTGCCGTCTGCAAGCAAATGCGGACTGAAGCGGTTACACGCTCACTTGCACCCTCAGATGCGGACATCAGCTGAGCTTGGCTTCAGAATGCAAAAAGCGCTTTTGATTACAATATGCAACAGTCACGAACCCTACGTCTTTGGAATTCACGAAAAGCGGCCCCGCAGTTGCCGTGCCCCCTCGGCAGAAACAGAGCCGCACTATGGCGCACTGACGAGACTTTACGAGACCCAAAAGCCAAAGAAGCCAAACTGCCTGTGTCCAATCCAGTCAGGTGGACCTCCCAGATCGTCACAGCCTGCCTCAATAAACGCGACTAGCAGTGACTAGCATCACCACAGCTTAGCAGTAAGAAGGCTGGCGCATATGACGCATCCATTGCCAAGCACCACCTCTAAGGCACTTAGCCTTACTTAGCTCCTGACCGTTCGAAAGAAGCAGCCCCTCTTGCACCCTGCCTGAAATCTCGGCCACGTCAAGGACATTTAACAGCGCATTCTCAGTTCCAAAACTTCTGAAAACTTAGTGCCCGTCCTTTGAGCGCTGTATCGTTCAGAATCCACGACAGAAATTCTCTCCAGTCCGCACCTCGACATCCAGCACATGACAGAAACAACACCGCAAATGCATGGATGATAGACAGATGTAGACAGAGGCATATCTATCTTCCGCGGAGAACGTGCTTTCACTGAGCTTTCGCGGAGCTTCCGCACATAGGGTTTCTAGTGCAATCCAAACTTTCGGCATGGATCCATTTCCATACTTTAATAATCTTTAATAGTACACCAACAGTGGACATGAAAATCGCTTCTCAAAATGCGCCATGTACCATGCTACAAGGATGACCCTCTCCCCTCCTAGACATGGCTCTGCACAATGCCTTTTTGGCAGGGCCCAGTCTGTGCCTGATGTGAATTTGCCAACGCAACTTCATCTGCGGCAGGAAGTGTCAGGTTTGGATCAAGAGGATTTTTTGTCGGGAAACAAGAAAAGATTATGGTTGACGATTAGGCTTATCATGCCCTACACCGTAAATTTCCGAAACCCTAAGCATTGCAGTCTAATCATCCTTGATCCCTGTGGGCGCTCCCAGGATCCCTGAAAATTCGGTGCCTGTCAGGGCTGTCAGGATCACGTGGGCACCCTAAAGGAAGGAGAAGATTGAAAAGTCAAAACTGAACTGTTTCGTAATCTTGCTGATCACAATGTGGAAATTTCTCCGGCGCACCCCCCGGCGCACCAATCTGCTCAGACTTCGGCCGAATAGTTTGATTGACCTCTTCTGCTGGCGACTCAATCGGGCTCTCATCCTCTTGACTCAAGCTTGACTTGGAGGCCAAGGACAGGTTGGAGCGGTTCCTCTGATCAGCGTCTTCGCTCAGGCCTGAGCGGGAGCGGGAACTGCTCAAGCTCGCGTTGGAGCGAGCCCTTCGAATACGACTTGGACTCCTTGTCACCTTCTTGGTGAGTGTTTCGGCTCCGGGAATCACTTCGAGAACAACCATTGACATGCAAGCATGGAGCAGCTTGAGATCAAAGGGCGCCAAGGTGCCCAATTCTTCGGTCAGGCTGCCATGTTGCAAGTCCACAAGATGAGTGGCGCTCTCACGGATGAGGTCGGCCAGCTCATCATAGTCTGGAAGCTTGGCCAAATCCAGCAATCTGAATCTGGTCCCATCAGAGGCTCGCAAGTTGCGCACGCCAGTACATCCAACAGACAGCACTGAAACCAAGAGGACGACCAAGGCGACAAGAAGGGAGCCTACTGTCACGATGGCAGCAGACAAGAGCATCTCTGTATCCATCTTCGGCATGTGGAGGGCTCCTCCCAGAATCAACAAAATCAAGGCCCAGCCACAGGCGGTTTCCACGGCGTTCAAGAGCGGAACTTTGAATGGCCAGGCCAAGCTCAAAAACACCATGTAAATAATCAGAACGAAGGTCATCGAGACAACTTGGCTTGCCGGATTGTTGGTGAACAACATCAAGGGGAAGGACAAGAGAGCACCACGCAACAGGAGAGGAAGGCCAAACCACCAGGCATCAAGGCGGAACTTGTCGATGAGAAACTGGGATGCAACGACATAGTCGTGGTACTTCTCATTCATGCTGAACCGTGGCAGAGACCATAGAAGCCACACGCACACACACCAAAAGGCGATAAGCAAAGCGCCCAGGCTAGAGCCCATCACCAGCATTGCGGCATGATCGCTGGAGCCACAGATGATGCTAAGCATCTGCAGGTTGCTCTGCTGACCGTTCGGATGCTGAAAGCACATGAAGGGCACCAGGGAGAGATTGCTCACTGCACTGAAGCAGGCCATCACAATCTGCCCCAAAGAGGACATCAGCTGCGTGCCCGTGCGGACACGGCCAACCAAGCGCAAGATGCGATTGCAGCAGACCAGCCAGAGAAGCGCACCAGGAAACAAGCTCACCTGGAAAGTGAACTGTGCCAGCTGAGCCGAGCCGGCAATGCAGCTGATGCCAAGGTCAGTAGCTTCAAAAGCGAAAACCTCCATGACAGAGAAGATGTCGAGTAGTAGCTGGGGCCACTCCAGGGTCATTTGCCCAGCGATGGCCAGGGTCTGAAGGAAGTTGCCTGCAACCTCAAAAAGCATCAGAAAGGTGAAAATGAGCATGCCGTTCACCCCCATCTCATAGTCCAACTTGAAGCCATGGGCCAGGAGAATGGCCAAACACACGCACGCGAGCACCGCGAACCAAGCGACCCTGATAAATGGCTCGCAGGGCAAGCATTCGTCTCCGTTCCACCGCTGATCCTCCTCGCACTCGGAGCAGGCAACGCCGGTGCTGTTGCCCTTGCAGGTGCCTGGCTTGCCACCAGGACATGCTTCCGAGTTGACGCATTGGTAAACCTCCAGACCTGCTGCTGCAAGACTCATGTACCCTTCCTTGATCTTCGGGATGAACTCCTCTCCCAAGTCTGACTCTCCGCTGAAAAAGGACTGCACGGTGGACGATCGAGGGCAGTCCAAGCCAGCTGGGCACGCCTTGCACTGTGCTGTTCCGGCTGAGGCGATGTTGATAAAGTCCGCATTGCATCCACATTCCTCGGCTGACAGCGAGCCCAGGCCCACTGTCGTCGTATTGTTCCTGCAAGCCTTGCAAGCTGTGGCGCCCAGCTCATCTTGATAGCTCCCAACCCAACAGCGCTTGCAAGCCTTGCTTCCGGCCATGTCCTGGTATTCTCCTAAGCCACACCGTGTGCAAGAGGTCGCAGCCCCTGATGGTTGGCTCGTCCCTGGAGGGCACAATGTGCACACGTGAGTGTAGCCACGGTCGTCGAACTGCTGCACCGATGAATGGCCGGACTCGCATGCCTTGCACACCACTCCCTGCACGGATTCCCCACGCATCTGAATGTATTCCCCATTCACACTATCGTAAAGCCCAAAACCCGGAATGCATTGTGTCTCATCCGGAATCCACGACGTCCAGTGTCGGCGATTATTCAGAAGCCACTGGCATAGTGCCTCGTCTGAAACGCCTTCAATGTAAAGGCGATCAAACATAGCTTCGATCACTGAAGTTGACATTTCCAGGCGGGTGATAAAGTCCGCGATGCTGGGTGCCAGAACTGCCAGGTCACGTGAGATCCACTTCGCACTGAGAAATCCACTGCTAAGTGTTCTGAAATCTCCACTGTCATAAGCTACGTTGTCATAGGCTGGGAACATAACCGGGACTGGCTGAGCGGCGCGCAGCTCTAGGTCCGGCCGGTTTAGCCAGAAGAGCACACGACGCTCGAGCACGATGGACCTGTCAAACTCCGGGCGTGCTCTGGCGATGGCGAGGGGCATGTCGAAAGCGGCGCTCTTCTGGAGAATTTGCTGCATGTCCTCGCCCGAGAAGGATTCGCGGGACATAGCAGGGACGCATTTCGATGGATTCGCCCTGCAGCTTGGTGATAGAAACCAGTGGCCATCTGGACATATTCCGGTGCCGTTTGGGTGAAGGCCACCCAGATCTCCGGTGATGTTCACATATTTAGCCATGAACGTAGGATCTCCAAGCCAGACCTCGTCGCATCGTAGGAGCCTGAATATTGAGATGTGATGCGGCGGGGCATAAGCTGTTATTTAAAGAGAGATACGAGAGCCCCTTGCCTGTCTACTCCACGTGTCGAGTGAAGTCCCTCGAGGAGCTAACGAACACAAGAGCAACGTGTAGAGCGAACGAGTGAGAGATAGTGAGAGCCCAGAGCGCTCTTAGACGCTCTGCCTCCTTCTTCCTCAATTTAAAGGAACACTTGAGCCATTCGACTCTGCCAGGAGTTCCATTGCCAAGGAGCTGCGATGTTGGAATGGATGTGAAGTTGTCAAAATACTTGGACAAGTCCCACCATGACGCGTTCCAGTTTGAGTAATACTGAAGCGAGAGGCCCTTCTCTTGCAGGGCATGCTGCGCCACCTCCTCAGTCATGTGCAAGGTGGCAATTGCCTCATACCCTATTCCGGTCCCAACTTTTTCTGGCTTCTTCGACTTGAAGACCGTCAACGTGTCCCAATGACGCTCGGAAATGGGTATCAGCGCGATGTGGTACTGGTTGGGACCGTCATTACAGCCCGTTCTGCTCTGTGGTTGATCACAGCCAGCAAGGTAATACAAAGCTCTTTCCCCGCCAGAGCGTGGGTTAATGTGCACATTATAACCCAACGCATCCTGAATCAGCATGCCAGCAATGCGAGTGACGATTTCCGAGATCTCATTGAAGCCGTGATTCATTCCCACGGGAAGCGACCTGCCTTGGGAATCTGTCAGGTTTCGCCTTTCTTCCACCGGCCGAGCTTCTGGCAAGCAAGTGCCCCGAACCATGACGAAGAGTAGGAGCCACAGCCCCAGCCAGAGAGGCACAATGCGAGCATTGCAAAGGCTCGCCATCGAAGCCCTCAACCCTAAAACGAGAAATTCTTACTTGCTGACCTCCGTTGGAAATGACGCTGAACCCATTCGGCAATTTGGGCTCACTGCCCAATGTACTTGGAACCTAGCGGAGCTCTTCATCGTTCATGGTTGGCATCCAGGGTTGGGCAATCGCTGTGACATGCTCTGACCCGAGAAGCACGACATAGCACGACTTTCAATGACTTTGCGTCTGCTGCAAAACAAATGCGGACTAAAACGGTGGCACGTTCACTGGAAGCACCCTCAGACGCGGACATCAGCTGACCTTGGCTTCAGAATGCAAAAAGCGAGCTTGGTCACAACATGCCACAACAGTCACATGCTAAGAACCCTACATCTTTGGAATTCACGAAAAGCGGCCCCGCAGTTGCCGTGCCCCCTCGGCAGAAACAGAGCCGCACTATGGCGCACTGACGAGACTTTACGAGACCCAAAAGCCAAAGAAGCCAAACTGCCTGTGTCCAATCCAGTCAGGTGGAACTCCCAGATCGTCACAGCCTGCCAAAAATAAAGCGACTAGCAGTGACTAGCATCCACTAAATCCACTGCGAAATCAATCGATCGCAATCGTCTCCAGAAAGACCGGGATCGGAACCTTCTGAGCAGTTCGTTTTCGCTGCCCGCGACTTCTTGCCTTTCGACACAGATGGTCGCAGGTACTCAGTTCATGACTGGATGCTGGGAACCCCTGATTCCACAAAACTCGCCTCATCCTGCGTCTCCGCGTCGATGAGCCTGCAAGCGAAAGCTCCCGTCACCACAGCTTAGCAGTAAGAAGGCTTGACGCATGTGACGCATCCATTGCCACGCACCACCTCTAAGGCACTTAGCCTTACTTAGCTCCTGACCGTTCGAAAGAAGCAGCCCCTCTTGCACCCATTCCTGAAATCTCGGCCACGTCAAGGACATGTAACATCGCATTCTCACAAAACTTCCGAAAACTTAGTGCCCGTCCTTTGGGCGCTGTCTCGTTCAGGGTCCACGACAGAAATTCTCTCCAGTCCGAACCTCGACGTCCAGCACATGACAGAAACAACACCGCAAACGCATGGATGATAGACAGATGTAGACAGAGGTATATCTATCTTCCGCGGAGAGCGTGCTTTCACTGAGCTTTCGCGGAGCTTCCGCACATAGGGTTTCTAGTGCAATCCAAACTTTCGGCATGGAGCCATTTCCATACTTTCACAGTACACCAACAGTGGACGTGAAAATCGCCTCTCAACATGTGCCATGGACCATGCTACAAGGATGACCCTCTCCCCTCCTTGACATGGCTCTGCACAATGCCTTTTTGGCAGGGCCCAGTCTGTGCCTGATGTGAAGTTTGCTATCGCAACTTCATCTGCGGCAGGAAGTGTCAGGTTTGGATCAAGAGGGTTTTTTGTCGGGAAACAAGAAAAAGATTATGGTTGATGATTAGGCTTATCATGCCCTACACCGTAAATGTCCTAAGCCCTAAGCATTGCAGTCTAATCATCCTTGATCCCTTTGGGCGCTCCCAGGATCCCTGAAAATTCGGTGCCTGTCAGGGCTGTCAGGATCACGTGGGCACCCTAAAGGAAGGAGAAGATTGAAAAGTCAAAACTGAACTGTTTCGTAATCTTGCTGATCACAATGTGGAAATTTCTCCGGCGCACCCCCCGGCGCACCAATCTGCTCAGACTTCGGCCGAATAGTTTGATTGACCTCTTCTGCTGGCGACTCAATCGGGCTCTCATCCTCTTGACTCAAGCTTGACTTGGAGGCCAAGGACAGGTTGGAGCGGTTCCTCTGATCACCGTCTTCGCTCAGGCCTGAGCGGGAGCGGGAACTGCCCAAGCTCGCGTTGGAGCGAGCCTTCGAATACGACTTGGACTCCTTGTCACCTTCTTGGTGAGTGTTTCGGCTCCGGGAATCACTTCGAGAACAACCATTGACATGCAAGCATGGAGCAGCTTGAGATCAAAGGGCGCCAAGGTGCCCAATTCTTCGGTCAGGCTGCCATGTTGCAAGTCCACAAGATGAGTGGCGCTCTCACGGATGAGGTCGGCCAGCTCATCATAGTCTGGAAGCTTGGCCAAATCCAGCAATCTGAATCTGGTCCCATCAGAGGCTCGCAAGTTGCGCACGCCAGTACATCCAACAGACAGCACTGAAACCAAGAGGACGACCAAGGCGACAAGAAGGGAGCCTACTGTCACGATGGCAGCAGACAAGAGCATCTCTGTATCCATCTTCGGCATGTGAAGGGCTCCTCCCAGAATCAACAAAATCAAGGCCCAGCCACAGGCGGTTTCCACGGCGTTCAAGAGCGGAACTTTGAATGGCCAGGCCAAGCTCAAAAACACCATGTAAATAATCAGAATGAAGGTCATCGAGATAACTTGGCTTGCCGGATTGTTGGTGAACAACATCAAGGGGAAGGATAAGAGAGCACCACGCAACAGGAGAGGAAGGCCAAACCACCAGGCATCAAGGCGGAACTTGTCGATGAGAAACTGGGATGCAACGACGTAGTCGTGGTACTTCTCGTTCATGCTGAACCGTGGCAGAGACCATAGAAGCCACACGCAAACACACCAAAAGGCGATAAGCAAAGCGCCCAGGCTAGAGCCCATCACCAGCATTACGGTATGATCGCTGGAGCCACAGATGATGCTAAGCATCTGTAGGTTGCTCTGCTGACCGTTCGGATGCTGAAAGCACATGAAGGGCACCAGGGAGAGATTGCTCACTGCACTGAAGCAGGCCATCACAATCTGCCCCAAAGAGGACATCAGCTGCGTGCCCGTGCGGACACGGCCAACCAAGCGCAAGATGCGATTGCAGCAGACCAGCCAGAGAAGCGCACCAGGAAACAAGCTCACCTGCAAAGTGAACTGTGCCAGCTGAGCCGAGCCGGCAATGCAGCTGATGCCAAGGTCAGTAGCTTCAAAAGCGAAAACCTCCATGACAGAGAAGATGTCGAGTAGTAGCTGGGGCCACTCCAGGGTCATTTGCCCAGCGATGGCCAGGGTCTGAAGGAAGTTGCCTGCAACCTCAAAAAGCATCAGAAAGGTGAAAATGAGCATGCCGTTCACCCCCATCTCATAGTCCAACTTGAAGCCATGAGCCAGGAGAATGGCCAAACACACGCACGCGAGCACCCCGAACCAAGCGACCCTGATAAATGGCTCGCAGGGCAAGCATTCGTCTCCGTTCCACCGCTGATCCTCCTCGCACTCGGAGCAGGCAACGCCGGTGCTGTTGCCCTTGCAGGTGCCTGGCTTGCCACCAGGACATGCTTCCGAGTTGACGCATTGGTAAACCTCCAGACCTGCTGCTGCAAGACTCATGTACCCTTCCTTGATCTTCGGGATGAACTCCTCTCCCAAGTCTGACTCTCCGCTGAAAAAGGACTGCACGCTCGACGATCGAGGGCAGTCCAAGCCAGCTGGGCACGCCTTGCACTGTGCTGGGCCGGCTGAGGCGATGTTGATAAAGTCCGCATTGCATCCACATTCCTCAGCTGACAGCGAGCCCAGGCCCACTGTCGTCGTATTGTTCACGCAAGCCTTGCAAGCTGTGGCGCCCAGCTCATCTTGATAGCTCCCAACCCCACAGCGCTTGCAAGCCTTGCTTCCGGCCATGTCCTGGTATTCTCCTAAGCCACACCGTGTGCAAGAGGTCGCAGCCCCTGATGGTTGGCTCGTCCCTGGAGGGCACAATGTGCACACGTGAGTGTAGCCACGGTCGTCGAACTGCTGCACCGATGAATGGCCGGACTCGCATGCCTTGCACACCACTCCCTGCACGGATTCCCCACGCATCTGAATGTATTCCCCATTAACACTATCGTAAAGCCCAAAACCAGGAATGCATTGTGTCTCATCCGGAATCCACGACGTCCAGTGTCGGCGATTATTCAGAAGCCACTGGCATAGTGCCTCGTCTGAAACGCCTTCAATGTAAAGGCGATCAAACATAGCTTCGATCACTGAAGTTGACATTTCCAGGCGGGTGATAAAGTCCACAATGCTGGGTGCCAGAACTGCCAGGTCACGTGAGATCCACTTCGCACTGAGAAATCCACTGCTAAGTGTTCTGAAATCTCCACTGTCATAAGCTACCTTGTCATAGGCTGGGAACATAACCGGGACTGGCTGAGCGGCGCGCAGCTCTAGGTCTGGCCGGTTTAGCCAGAAGAGCACACGACGCTCGAGCACGATGGACCTGTCAAACTCCGGGCGTGCTCTGGCGATGGCGAGGGGCATGTCGAAAGCGGCGCTCTTCTGGAGAATCTGCTGCATGTCCTCGCCCGAGAAGGACTCGCGGGACATAGCAGGGACGCATTTCGATGGATTCGCCCTGCAGCTTGGTGATAGAAACCAGTGGCCATCTGGACATATTCCGGTGCCGTTTGGGTGAAGGCCACCCAGATCTCCGGTGATGTTCACGTATTTCGCCATGAACGTAGGATCTCCAAGCCAGACCTCGTCGCATCGTAGGAGCCTGAATATTGAGATGTGATGCGGCGGGGCATAAGCTGTTATTTAAAGAGAGATACGAGAGCCCCTTGCCTGTCTACTCCACGTGTCAAGTCCCTCGAGGAGCTAACGAACACAAGAGCAACGTGTAGAGTGAACGAGTGAGAGCCCAGAGCGCTCTTAGACGCTCTGCCTCCTTCTTCCTCAATTTAAAGGAACACTTGAGCCATTCGACTCTGCCAGGAGTTCCATTGCCAAGGAGCTGCGATGTTGGAATGGATGTGAAATTGTCAAAATACTTGGACAAGTCCCACCATGACGCGTTCCAGTTTGAGTAATACTGAAGCGAGAGGCCTTTCTCTTGCAGGGCATGCTGCGCCACCTCCTCAGTCATGTGCAACGTGGCAATTGCCTCATACCCTATTCCGGTCCCAACTTTTTCTGGCTTCTTCGACTTGAAGACCGTCAATGTGTCCCAATGACGCTCGGAAATGGGTATCAGCGCGACGTGGTACTGGTTGGGACCGTCATTGCAGCCCGTTCTGCTCTGTGGTTGATCACAGCCAGCAAGGTAATACAAAGCTCTTTCCCCGCCAGAGCGTGGGTTAATGTGCACATTATAACCCAACGCATCCTGAATCAGCATGCCAGCAATGCGAGTGACGATTTCCGAGATCTCATTGAAGCCGTGATTCATTCCCACGGGCAGCGACCTGCCTTGGGAATCTGTCAGGTTTCGCCTTTCTTCCACCGGCCGAGCTTCTGGCAAGCAAGTGCCCCGGACCCTGACGAAGAGTAGGAGCCACAGCCCCAGCCAGAGAGGCACAATGCGAGCATTGCAAAGGCTCGCCATCGAAACCCTCAACCCTTGCTGACCTCCGTTGGAAATGATGCTGAACCCATTCGGCAATTTGGGCTCACTGCCCACATGTACTTGGAACCTAGCGGAGCTCTTCATCGTTCATGGTTGGCATCCAGGGTTGGGCTATCGCTGTGACATGCTCTGACCCGAGAAGCACGACTTTCAATGACTTTGCGTCTGCTGCAAGCAAATGCGGACTGAAGCGGTTACACGTTCACTGGAAGCACCCTCAGACGCGGACATCAGCTGACCTTGGCTTCAGAATGCAAAAAGCGAGCTTGGTCACAACATGCCACAACAGTCACATGCTAAGAACCCTACATCTTTGGAATTCACGAAAAGCGGCCCCGCAGTTGCCGTGCCCCCTCGGCAGAAACAGAGCCGGACTATGGCGCACTGACGAGACTTTACGAGACCCAAAAGCCAAAGAAGCCAAACTGCCTGTGTCCAATCCAGTCAGGTGGAACTCCCAGATCGTCACAGCCTGCCAAAAAAAAAACGCGACTAGCAGTGACTAGCATCCACTAAATCCACTGCGAAACCAATCGATCGCAATCGTCTCCAGAAAGACCGGGATCGGAACCTTCTGAGCAGTTCGTTTTCGCTGCCCGCGACTTCTTGTCTTTCGACACAAATGGTCGCAGGTACTCAGTTCATGACTGGATGCTGGGAACCCCTGATTCCACAAAACTCGCCTCATCCTGCGTCTCCGTGTTGATGAGCCTGCAAGCGAAAGCTCCCGTCACCACAGCTTAGCAGTAAGAAGGCTTGACGCATGTGACGCATCCATTGCCACGCACCACCTCTAAGGCACTTAGCCTTACTTAGCTCCTGACCGTTCGAAAGAAGCAGCCCCTCTTGCACCCATTCCTGAAATCGCGGCCAAGTAAAGGACATTGAACAACGCATTCTCAGTTCCAAAACTTCCGAAAACTTAGTGCCCGTCCTTTGAGCGCTGTATCGTTCAGGATCCACGACAGAAGTTCTCTCCAGCCCGCACCTCGACATCCAGCACATGACAGAAACAACACCGCAAATGCATGGATGACAGACAGATGTAGATAGAGGCATGAGAACCACACTGCTTAAGCAATCTGTGTCAGCTTCTTTGAAGAGACGCTTTATCTCCTCATCGCCAGATGTTGGCCACTGTCCAGGTCCTTGGAAATAAAACCGCCCAAGGCTGGACATCGGTCGACGTCCCCTGTGGATGCCAAGGGCATGCTTTCTTGCCAGTAGTCGTTGGCATGCTGGAAATAGCCCCGAGTCACAGCCCTTCCCCAACGGGGTGTGGGCAAGGCCATACCAACATCCCACTTGCCTGCCCAAATCTGCCCAAGTACCCTATGCGAGGATGGTGCCATGACATGCCAACTAGCGCTCTACGATGCTATACCTGTACTTGCACTGTAGGGGACTGAAACACAGACTAAACTGACTAAACCCTCTGCGTGTCTGCCGTACCTATGTATATACCACCAATACCATGCTGACACCCCACACCTACCAGGTGCGTCCGGTAGCCGCCATGCTTCATCTTCTCTGCCATGCCTGTCATGTTGGCCGGAATGCCTGCGAAGCCAGACACGTTGTCCTCACGGGTATTGGTCGCGACATGTCGCGACCCCATCAGCAACTATGCATCAGGGGCAGCTACAGGAAGACATTTCAAGATATGCTCTTACTCTACCAAAGAAGTGTATCCTTGCACAGAAGGCGTGTGTGTCTCAGCTCAGGGGTCATGCTGCTGCTGCTGCTGTTGCTGCTGCTGCTGCTTCTGGTACAGCTGCTGGTGCAATATCACAACAAGGCATCCAGGCAACGTGTAGGCTTGAGTGAAGCTGCGGTTCCAGCGTTCTTGGGGGGGGCTTTCAACAAAGGCAAGAAATGCTACAACTACAAAAACGAAACATTTCAACGAATGTCCGCTAAATAAAACAAGCAGTTCCCGCCAAAAACAACCAATACCAAAAAAGCCAAACAACCCAAAAACACAAATGTTGTAGGACTCTTCGAAAAACCAATTCCCACAAAACCAAAAAACCAATTCCCGCAAAACCAAAAAAAAACACAATTCCCACAAAACCAAAAATATATAATACCAAAAAAACCAAAAGAACCAATAAATACAATTTTCCGGGACTCTGTGAAAGCTGTGGAAATAAGCTTACAAATCAAAAGTCCCGGAAAGTTGTTTTTTTTTGTCTTTTTGGTTCTTTTGGTATTGGTTTTTTTGGTTCTTTGGGAATTGGTTTTTGGGACTACTTTTTTGGTTTCGGTGCCCCAGTTCCCCCTATGAGCCATGCACTCACATCCAAACACATAATCTGGCAGGTCTTTTGGCTGCTTACTCGGATTACAGTTTGAACCTATATTATACAAAAAAAATTGTATATTATATGCTAACCCCCCCCCCCCCCCCCCCCCCCCCCCCCCCCCCCCCCCCCCCCCCCCACGCCCTCCCTGCCCCCCTCCCCGCCCCCCTCCTAAACCTAGGTTTCGTACACTTTTTGTCGTAAGGACATGATACTCAGTTGCTTTGGATGAGAATCATGTAAGACCTTATGTGCTTGTGAGACTTGCGGATAACTTGAAAATGAGCATAATTTTTGAGACATGAAAACCATGTTGGGAGACCTGTGGAAAGCATTGCAATCGAAAAAAGAGATGCTTGTAGCAGCCTTTCGGAAGGTCCCAGGAAATAGTGAAAGGATATTTGCTCACAGTATTCTCGCGTCCCCGGGGGTTGCAGTAAAAGTTTTTTTCGCATCACCCTATGCGCTCGAAAGCTCGAAGCTTACCATCCTTCCTTCTCCATTAAATATCTGTCTTTGATATACAAAAACACATATACCCCAGATACATACATGATGTGTGTACTTATTCTGCTTTCTCTTTGCGTTTCCACAGGAGGCAAGCCCTACAAACATAGGCATAACCCTATGGGATCCAAGGTCTAGGGATTTATGCCTCAAGCCCTACAGGGTGACAAGGTTCAATAGGTAACGCTGAAAACTGAAACACGAGATCTTTTAATCCTATAGGGTTTCATACTTGCATGCATACATACATGCGCACATACGCACATACGTACATACGTACATACATACATACATACAGACATACATACATACGAAGTTGTTGTAGGGCTAAGCCGTGAAAGTTTTAGAGGTAAACCCTTAAAACCCCTGGACCTGTAAACCCTATAAGGTGTAAAGGTTTAAACACCTGCCTAAGGTCTGGGCATTTATACCTTAGCGCCTATAGGGTTAAAAACCTTCGAACCCTTTAGAGCCTTATAGGGCTTCTTTATGGGCTTAGGTTTACATGCCTACATCTTAAACCCTAAACCTCTAATCTTAACCCTATAGGGTTTAAAAGGTTTGCCGAAATGCGAACTTAAAGGGTTTAGGGTAAAGGTCTTCATGCCTAAATCTGAAAACTTTAAGATTTAAACTTTATGGGCTTAGGTTTACATGAAACGCTCTTGGGTTTAACAGGGAGTCTACAGGTTTTCCCGTTTTCGAATTGAATGTGGAAAATGTTGCAAGAAGTTTTGAGAACACACGCAGATCTTCGCCTGACGGGGTTGAGAAAAAATGACTTCCCTGCTGTGGCGAGAGCAGGATTTCGACCATGACTAATTCTGCAAAAACACCCGTTGAAAAAGCTACAACATGCAAAACGCACTGGCGCTAAGAAAAAACACGATTTTGGAAAGAAAAAAAAAGGGCTTGCAACTTTCAAAATTCCGGACTTTCTGGAAATAAACCGCAAAGATGGCATTTTGCAAACAACAATCAACCCTCCAGTGCTTTCGACACTTCCAAAATTTGTTTTTTCGTGCAAAATGTGCTTCTTCAGTTTTGAACCCGCAACGCATTGCACTCCACAACAAAAATGTCTTCCAACGCACGGCCCCGCACGGACGCCGCCACCCAGTTTATTTGACAAGGCCGGACTCTTTTTGGACGGCTTAGAAGATATTTGCGCCGTGCTATGCACGCATGTAAATAATCTACTCTTTGCAGTGCAATCTTGCAATGTGGACAGCCAGATCTTGCGTATCAAGTGAAAGTTCTTCAGACTCAGGTCTCAGTTACTACAATTGAAATCCTTAAGGAAACTAACAGATTCGTAAAGCTCGCACTGAACAACGCCAAGAAAGGTGTTACCTATTTTACCGACTTATGTCATGGAAGCTCAAAGACCTAGCTGGCAGAACTAGCAGTCTTAACAATGAAGTGTGCAAAGCTACCTTGCGTAAGACTTACAACGTGCAACACAGCCTTGAGCATGGGGCTTGCGTCAGAACAACCCCAGGCGTTTTCTAACAATTGTCATTGCTGAAAGACTTTGACAAAGTTCTTACACGATCTCTCTTGCGCCATCAGCTGACAAATTGCCAATCTGTTGATCTCTTGAGCAAACAGCTATCATCAAGCGGACAGAAGACAAGGAACTTACTTTGGAAGCACTCTTTTCCTGCACTCGCGTGCTTATCTTGCTGCGTTCTTTATCTGATAGCACGGCCGCAGAGGCAGGTGTCAACTCGAGCTTCACTACAGCTTGTCCCTCGGCGCATTGCTCTTTGCAGCTGTTCACCTAATCCATTTGGACGTCTTACACATTCCGGGGCTCGAAACACAAAGTCAGTTGTTACGTCCTTCAGAGTTTGCACGCCCCACAGATTGCATTAATGCCGATCGGTGGCCTTCCACCTCTGGTTTCAGCTTGCAGTTCCCATTCTTTGGTTTCCTCAAACTGCAGTGCCCCATTTTCATGGTTGTGGAACGTTTTAAACCGGACAAAGTCTGCAGTCTGTATTGCCCAAAAGGAAACTTGGAGTCTCGAGCTATGTAAGGGTCGAAACAAGGGAACTGGGGAAACATGGTTTGCAGGTGATGCAAACACATTTTTAAAGTACAATGTGTCGACTCGCATTATGGTGAACAACAAAAAGTGTTGCCATTAGCGCCATTGTCATTATGCCCAATACAAGCTTGAGTACGCAAAGACAAACAAAGCAGTTATGGAAGAACGCCTGGATCTGGCGCTCTTGTGCTTGTATAAGGCCTCGTTTAGACTCCGTGCTTTAGGTAATCCTTAGCAGTGGTCAAAAACCGCTTACAAAAAGCTGTTTTACAAGCACACGGCCATGTATGTGGAGACAGGCTCCGTACTGAACAAACATCCGCATTTTCTGCAAAGCAGTTGTAGCAAGCATGCCGGAAGATGCGAACGCCATGATTGCCGTGCAAAGCAGATGTTCAAACCTGTGGCATTGCTTGGTGCAGCTGTGTCATCTAAGACGGCCAAAATGAACTTCGAGATGCTTGCTTTTTTGTGAACCGCCCAATGAAAGCAAAAGACTTGGCACGAGGAGTTTAAGTGCCCCCCAAGTGAAGCTTCCGCCACAAGGTACGAAATAGTGGAGCCTTTACTTTTTCTAAGTGTCAAAGTCGTGCCTTTGTACACGTGCCACAATTCTGAGGAAGTTTTATTGCTTTGTTCTGCTGGGTTTTGCCATTTATCAATGTGGAAAAAGTCGGACAGACGTTTGCCCTGTATCCTAAACCCGAAAAAGCAAGACTGAGGCCTGAAATCAATGAAAGTAGTCTTGGCTCAAAAAAGTAAAATAGCGATTTTGCATATGTTTTTCACATATTTGAGTTCGTGTCCTTCTTTCTGCGGCGAGCTCGATTTTTACGAGGTTTGTGGAAAGCCTGAGATGGGGTTTAGGATTGCTTTCAGTGGAGATTGAACGGCCTGAAATCAATGAAAGTAGTCTTGGCTCAAAAAGACAACAGCATCTCCGGATGGGATTAGGACGGTTGAGGCGTCACAGCCCCCTTGCGCTAAGTCTCCCACGGACTCACTTGGCCTGACGGAACCAAAATCGTATCTCCCTATGCCTCCCCATGGCCTGACGCCCATCCCCGCCAGGCCTGTGCCCGCTGTCCAAGCTCGCAAGGAAAGTCGGCCTCTCGCTTTGGACAAAGACGGCTCTCAGCAGCTGGAACCACCAAAAGCCAAGCCTCGAGGGCCTAGCGAGCCCAGCGGCACCCGCGATCCCAGCGCCCCAGCCTGCGCACCCATCATGCAGAGCAACACAGTCTCGGTCTGTGATCTCATGTGGCGCGCACTTGCAGCGGGACATCACTTTGGTAAGAATGTCAAACCTCGGCCCTACATGAACCTGCGTGACTCGCAACACCTCACAACACACTGCCAGCAGCTTCGGGCATATAGGGCCTATGAGGTGTTTTTGAACGGCATACCGAACCAGCTGCAAGACTCGGATATGCTGATCGGAATCGCTGACACGCTACTGCATCTGCCTGAAACGTTTCCGGCAGCGTATTTGAAGGTTTATGACCCTATCATCACGCAGTGCCTTAGATTGTCGGGGGCATTGCAGCATTTCGACCTTGCTGAAATGTTGGATTGCCCGGTCCCGCAGCTGGACAAAGCAAGGCTTTCGGAGTCCCTGGTGGGGTATGGCTTTCTTACCACAGCGCAGTACATCGCGGATCTTTTCTCTGCGGTGTCGGACTTGCCGAGTGTCATCAATGCCAGTTTTCCTGCAATGCTCAGCTACGCTGACCCAGATTATTGGCTGGGTGCACT